TCTATATTGGCTAAAAGTCATGACCTTGAGAATAGATCTATGAGCTCCAAAGGCAATAATACAGTCTTGCAGGCTCCACCCCAGATTCTAACACAATATCTCATAACTGACTGCACAAGTGCGTAGTAAATTGTACGAAGAAGATTAGGATCAGCAACATACCAAAGTTTTTTGAAAACGTAGACGAATTTTCTAAGACGCTCAGTTGTGAGTTCTATATGAGTACGCCAGCTGAGCCTGTCATCCAGAATCACCCCGAGATATTTTACATTACTAGACTTGGCAACTGTAGGACAACAACAGTCAGAGACAGAGTCCGAGCCGCGAGTAGATCTACATGAGTGAAGTTTAATTTTTATGTTAGCCGGTTTATTATTAGGAAGAGTAAATGGAATGCAAGTGGATTTTGAGAGATTTAACGTAAGTAGGTTTTTTTGAAGCCAGCAGCTTACTTTTTGAAGACCACGCTCAGCAACATCGCAAACCCCGTCCCAAGTCCAATGATAGGTCATCGTAGTTTCTAATTCTCGATTCTGGTAAATATAATTTAAACTTTACCCAGTCCCTATAACCTATAATTTAAACTTTACCCAGTCCCTATAACCGTTGAAAGTCCAATACCTTCATTGCAAGTTACGATGCGCGACGATTTGATTTTGTATTGAAATCTTATTCAACGCCTATCTCTATCTAATAATTTCCGTGATAGAAGACTTTGAAATTTGTATGGCGGCCATCTTGTATAATAATTGAATTTTAAAGTTTTTAAATAATAATTTTACATCGTCATTATGAACGTTCACTAATCATAGGTTTCTGCAAAAATTTCTTTCCTTTCTTAATCTATTGATAAAATTTTGATTTAGACGATTATTTCCATTTTTATGAAACTAAACTCCGTCTTGTAAAAAATAGTATAAATGTAACATTATGTAACATGTTTATCACACAGCCTGCATTTATTTATATATAGGTCATCGAAACCAGAAGTGAAAAATTAAAAAATATTTAATTGCGCTTTGTATTATACAGTGAAAAAACAAAAGAAAATGTTCAACATCTTTAGTTTGTCTATCCGGAAAATGGAACGTAAAATACTTACTCGTTCATGTCATTCAACCATTCACTCACTTACGTCAAGTGGACATTTTGGTTGGTTGTCATGTCAAGCAATCAAACAAAATGTCAAACACAAACCACTAAATTATGATGGAAGCGAAGCAGTGCTTAGTTGCAGATTTTTATTTAAATAACACTTATAATTAACTGTTAAATATAGGGAAATAAGTTCTAACAAGCATTACACGGTGAACAGCTACATTACTAATACAATATGTGCGATAGCGATGATCCAGGAGACCAGGGACAGTCGGGAATGGATTTGACCGGGTTTTTATTTGGTAATATTGATGAAAGAGGCCAGTTGGAGGATGATGGGCTGCTGGATGGAGAATCGAAGCGCATGTTGTCGTCTCTGAATCGTCTTGGCCTAGGTTCTATGCTAGATGAAGTGCTAAATCAAGAGGAAATTAGCAAAGAAGATGAGGAGAAAGGTGAATCTTGTTTTCCCCATTATGTCTTACTGCAATGAGAAATCTGAACTAGGACGTGGTGAATTAGATCTAGTTATTGATTTTGAATAATTACAAGCAGAAGATTGAAAATTTTAAAATGATGTCAGATAGTTGTAGGTTGGCTCAGTAGATTGTCAGTGTTTTTGTTTTATTTTCAGATTATTCTCAAAAAAGTCCATCAGCAGAAGATTTCTTTGACATTGATGATGTTGCAGAAGATATAAAAGTAAGACGTCATGCTAATTTTCTGCACATTGTAAAAAAAAAATTAAAAAGAGTTATGTATTTTATTAAATACAATTTTGTTAAATTTGTGTTGTTTTGGTTTTTTATGTATTGAAAAGGTAATGTTCATATAGTATTTAAATTGTGGTGGTTATGTTTGCATATAGTTTTTGTGTTTTAATATTTTCACTAATTTATTTATGTATTTTGTTTGTTTGTTGCTAAAGCAGTTATAATGACAATATTTATGTTTTAGTACATATATGTTTACCACACTGTAAGTATTGGATGTTTAATTTTTAATGGTATTTGTGTTAACATTAGGATGTAGAGATTACTAACAAGGAAGCACATGGGGAGATACTGGGTGATAAGCAAGGTGAGACACAGGGCCAGACAAAACAGGAGCTGGAAATGGAGAAAACAGAAATGGAGGTTATGGACACGGAAACTGTAACAACGGAAGTTCAAACTACTAGTGATTGTCCACAGAGTGAAATAAAAGATGAAGTTAATGAGGAAAAACAAGATTTTGAGAAAAGTGAGCAAATTAAAGATGAAGGTTATGACGGAGATATGGAGGGTGATGAAGATCTTATGCCTCCACCTTCCATTATTCCGTAAGTTTCTAGTTTTTTATGTTATAATGATATATTGAGTGTGCCTTTTCACAATTAGTGCGTAGATGAACTACCATTTGAACTGCCAATGTGACATTAGTCAAATCCGCTATGTATTGTTGTTTGCTGATATTGAAATCAAACTAGACACCAATTTACTTCTAAGTGTGCAATTGAAATGACTTTCCAGTCTACAATATGTACGTCAGTGAAGAAGTTAGTTCCTGTGTACCTATGGATCATATTGTTTCCTCTGGAATTTTTATCACAGCTTACAATTTTGGTTGACAAAAAATTTTTGCAGTAAAAACAATACTAATAAATCGGACAAGGCAAGGAAACTGGAAACACCACTGGCGGCTATGTTACCATCTAAATATGCTAATGTGGAAGTCACAGAACTATTCCCAGATTTTAGGCCTGACAAAGTGAGTACAAACAATTTTATTCATTTGTTGTGTTTGCTATATTATTTATAGAGATTATAATACTATCATGTTATTTTTGTTACATATAATTCTAATGTTTTTTAAAATATTTTGAATGTAATTGCAACATTTTTCATGACCAGTATGATAGTTATTTGTTTTTATGTGTATAATTATCACCAAATTTCAAAATGAGGATTAACTTTTGCATAAATATATTCCACCAGCAGTGTTATTTACACTAGAACCTTTATTACGAGCTTTTGGTAGTTCTGCTGCTTTTGGTGCCTTATACGCCATTGTGGCACATACCTATAAATTAAAATAATACCCAATTTTATTATATTTAAGGTGTTATTGTTCTCTCGTCTGTTTGGACCTGGCAAGCTGTCAAGCCTGCCTCAGATTTGGCGTGGGGTCAAAAAACGAAGACGTCGCAAGCGCAGTGGTAGCACCAGTAGTGATACTCCACCTCAAATTCCGGATAACCAGGAAATGCAGTATGCTAGTGATGATGAAGAAAAACTATTGAAGTGAGTATTCAACTTAGTAAAATAATTAATTATTACGAAACTTTGAAAATTGTCTATCATGACATCATACTTCACCACGGGGGATTGCCTCATTTTCATGCATTCACATTTCTTGGATAACTTTTATGATTATAAGCAATTTGCAATTCCTACAATGTGAAATTCACATATTTATTTTTCTCCCTTTTCTCTAGCTTTTATTTTTTTTCATATATTGAGGCCAATGGAAGAAAACCAACATTCATCATCAAATGACAACTATAACTCTGCATATGGTGGCGACAAGTCCCAAAGGCCCACGCCTGCGCATTGGCGTTTCGGCCCAGCACAAGTTTGGTATGATATGTTGAATGTACCAGAGACTGGAGAAGGTTTTGATTATGGGTTTAAAGTTAAGGTAAGTTTTTGATAGCTTAAATAAAAGGACTTTACATTGTAGGCATTGTAGGCAGGATTCACACAGATGCGCTTTGCGGCTTTTGATATTTTAGTAACAAGCAAATGACGTGGCGAGATCAGCCTAAATGGCAGCCCAAATGGCAGCCCAAATATGGATGTCTAGTGTATAGTGTAGTGTGTTAAGACCCTCAACTTGGTATACTTTTACTTTCGTATCCTTCTATCGCGCAAACCTTTCTTACACGCCCAATTTATTAATTAATTAACCATATCTAACATGAAACAGGATCCATCACCTGAAAGAGATGACAAACCCAATGAAGGGGAGGAGAAAAAAGAAACAGATACCTCTGATAGTCCTGACAGTGGTTTCCCCGATGATGCATTCCTCATGGCGACACAGCTGCAGTGGGAAGACGATGTGATTTGGGATGGCAGTGAGATTAAACACAAGGTACTGTGTAGCTTCCAGATTTCCATTTTTCAAATTGACGTCAACATTTCCGAGCGTTTGTTTTTGCATTTGTCTTCAGGTTTTAGCACGTTTAAACAGTAAAAGCAATGCAGCGGGCTGGGTGCCTACCTCGGTGAGTCGAACGGCGCAACAGTTCTCGCACCCGCGACCTCAGCCGCCTGCACCACTGCAGCCGAAACCACCCACGTAAGTTTAGGCGATTTAGTCTAGTAAAAAATCAACGTTAAAAGTTCTTACATTCATAGATAAGTAAAATCTTCTTGGATATTTGGAAAATCGAAGAAGAAATTAATTTTCTACTAACTGGTACCGTCACGCTAAGCCGAAATGTATCTTTATTGTTCGTGAGAATTATTCAAAAATTTCTTAGAACTCTTATAAAAGACCTTTGCCAAAGGCATAAAAAACGACGTAGAATGTCAATGCGGTAGCGACCCGTCGGCATGTCATCGGCATTAACCGGTGCTTCGCCGGAGCTAACGTCGTGTTTGCTAACCCCCCGGTCGTGGCAAAGATGCCGTTGTTTTGGAAAAGTATTTAAGTGTAAAGAGATATAATTTAAAAATCAAAACATTGCAGCTCTTCATATGTAAATTTTTTTTTTGTGCAACACAAGAATAACATTTGGACGTACACACATCAGAAAAGTTGATTCGATGATTAGGTGACATCAAAATGTCGAAGAGGTCATGGTAGAACTGCTTATTCTGCACTTCTATAGCCAACGTTTTTGTAGAAGACCTTGAAACTAGAAACTTGGAATTGTTCCGAACGGGGCGGAAGATTTATTTAGTTGTCACAAAGATTTTTTGCGTGTGTCTATTTTACATTTAATAAAAAAGGTAAACCTTGATATAGCTATTTGTAAAGATAAGAAAAGGTTATTTATAACGATTTTAAAATCACATTAACTGGTGCTGGTGAACTGACCGTTTATTAGGTTATTGACCCGAGGCGATTTACAACGGGCATATTTTTGTTTTACGCCAATTGCACGATTTCAACGTTTGAGTAGCTGGAGATACCCTCCTCTACCCGACTCGCTGGTGTACTAAGTGTGAAGCCATCTGCACAGCCAAGTAATACGTGCATTAAGTCAAAACGGGTCACTATGACCCAGCGTCATCGCTGGCGTGGTATTTTTGTGACTGACATTATTGGTTTATTTACTGTTTATAATTAATTAATCTTATTCCTGCTGCTTGTTGCGTGCTGACAGACATCAATTTAATCATTTGACACCAATACGTGAACTTTCCAAAGCATTTGTTGAACAATGCCAAAAATGTATCCTGCGGGCGAAAACTGCACTATTAATGAAATGTTGAGCTGATTATTTAACTATAAATGATTTTCCACAATTAGAAGAAAGAGATTTAATACTGTTTGCTTTAGGTAGTTATCAAATAAAGCTTGCTCGGTCGTATTGTAGCGAGCACTTACGAGATGGAGTGTACTTTATAGAAGTTATGGAAGATGAATCTATAGATATTCCGCAAATGCATGTAACTGGAGATTGCTATCTTTTGAGAGGACGTATTCAATCAAGACACACCAGAGCACGAGTATATTATGTATATATAGTAGTAAATAGGGAAGGCGTTGGAAGAGCGCGCATAATACAACACTATTGTACGTGCCTTACTGGTAGACGGACCTTGGGTTGCTGTGCTCACGTCATGTCGATTGTATGGTATTTAGGGTGGGCACGGCACCAAGGAGCTTTTAATCTTCCAGCATCATATTTAGATGAAGTGATAATAGACGAAGTAAATGAGTTTTGAAACAATATATTTTATTTTATTTCATATCTTTTATATTCCCTAAAAAATATTATAACAAGAAATACTGGACCAGATTCCAAAATTGTGTCATAATTCCACAGCTCACAGAACCCTTTTAAACTTAAGACACCATTTGGGTAATCATTTTTAACATACACACCACACAAACAAAATTCCAGACAGAAGTTCAAATATTAAGTATCTACATTAAAAAATAAACATTATTCAAGATATTTCGAAAACTTGATGACTTACGTATTGGTGCCCATAATATTTTTTGATCGTATTAATGATATCTATTGATTGAAAGTAGTTTTTGAAGTGGCCGCTCCCAGGTCCATTTTGCCCATTCTCCTTTACGCAATACATACCATCCTCTGGCACACGCGAGAGATGTCAAGTATGTCCGTTCAAAAAGGATAAAAAAACATCTCATACATGTAATGCATGCTAGATTTATATATACTACCTATATACCCGGATCATACGGGAAGGTACTGCAATAGTTGCAGCAGTTGCACGTCTCTGATTGAGGACGTAGAAGACTAATTTCTAATAATAAGTTTGAGTGACCTTTGTTTTAGTATATAAGACTATCAATTGCTATTATTATTCAGAATATTTTACTAAAAATAAAAGAAATATTAAAATTATGTTTTCAATGTTGATTTTGCACGTGTTATTGAGAACGCTAATTAAATATTTATTTATACAATTTATTGTTATTATTTTTATTTCAGTATATGTCTTGACGATTCTTACTTAATACGTATTTGTTAAAATTTAGACAACTACTTTAATTTTACAAAAAATTATCAATGAAATTCGGGTCACGATGACCCAACGTCACCGTCGGCGTAATTATTTTCACGTCATTGGCGCCGGGTTAAATTATTTTTTTGATTGCAGATCGACAACATCGTCAACAAATCCCACTCAACCCGGTGCCAATTCGGCCGAAGGGGAAGACAACACCTGGTATTCAATATTCCCCGTAGAAAACGAAGAACTTGTTTATGGTACTTGGGAAGACGAAGTTATATGGGATGCTCAAAATATGAAGCAGGTTCCTAAACCTAAAATATTAACTTTGGACCCTAATGATGAGAATATTATACTAGGCATACCAGATGATGTAGATCCTTCAAAGATTACTAGAGGTATGTGATGCTTTTATATCCACCAAAGATGTTTAAGTTTCTTATAGTAAGAGCTTTTTTCAGGTCAGTTTCAGACGGTGATGTTGATAAAAGTTCTTTTTTTTTTTGCAAAAAAAATCACTTGAATTCCAAATAAGCTTAGGCTTCAATTTTCTCAACCATTGGTACAGTGGTACAAACAATGCAGTAGTTTGTTGGTATGAGTGGCTATTCTGTCTTTATAGGACTTAGTTAGTTATTTCCTTAATAATTGTAGGCATTTCAAGATATTCGTGGACCTCAAGTATTTTAGTGAACCATCAGTGAACCAGCTGTTTTGGTATCATTGCAGAATTGTAATGTTAGACTGACTAGCAGTTACCAAAAGGTCCAAATTAGTTTCAGAACTGCCTTGTAGATAGTTGGCCTATTTTCTAGAGTTACTCTAGACCTTCTTCCCAGTAGCCACACCAAGCACAGCAGGTTGTGTAATTAAGTACATTACGTTTCTTTTGGATGTGGGTCTTCCATGTTAGTCTCTGATTGACGTAGAATCGATAAAAGAAAAGTTGCAAAGTAAAACGAGATAGTATTAAATACTGATGTTTATTGTTTTGTGTTTATTTATCAGTTTATTTATTTATCTACTTAGAACGGGGTCCGGCGCCAAAAGTAAAGATACCGCACCCGCACGTGAAGAAGTCAAAGATCCTTCTTGGAAAAGCGGGTGTGATCAACGTTCTACAGGAAGACGCGCCACCCCCACCACCAAAATCGCCGGATAGAGATCCTTTCAATATATCCAATGATGTGTAAGTTTACAACAATTAAAAAACTTCAAAAGATGTGTGAAATTTTCGATCTGCTTTGGTCCAGAGTGATGGAGATTTAATAAGACAAGTATGGTAACTTCATACAAACGTTGCAGCGCTGCGTGCCGTGTACGTGTCCGTCTGCACACTCTAGCATAATCTACAGAATATTCGCGATGCACTCACGTTTGCATAGCGCTAGTCTTCTCATGCGCCTTTTACTATGTGCATCTGTACACGGCGCGCGGCGGGCGTGCACACATATAAGCCGCGCTGCTGCGTTTAAATGAAGTTACCATACTTGTCTTATTATACTATGCCGAAACGTTGGTTTGTTTGAAAAAAACAAATATACGCGATTTAGATTCGAAAAATAATTTCATTGCCAATAAACGAAAATAGTTACGTAACATTATTATAGGTTTAAAGATTTTATTTCTCACTAAGAATTTTCATTCATTTAATATGAGAAAAAAATAATGAAATATAATACAGTTGAAATATCGAACGACAAAGATTGAGTATAAAAATTATTCTACATTAAGTGGGTAGTATTTAAACGTGAGTTAGTTGGTTGAATCGATAACGTGAATATTGCTATACACAATTAACAAACATATATTGAACGGCCAAAACTAGAAGCGACATGCAAGTAGTTTCATTAGGATGAAACGTTTGGTACTTTAAATTATTATTTTATTTTGTTTATTATATATATATAGTTATAAATAGTGCACCTTCATTTAACAAACATTTTTTTCCGTAATTTGTTTCCGTGTTTTTAATTCCGTATTTTAAGTTCTTTGTGAAGTCTTGGTCTCAACTTTGATATTTGCTGAGTTTTGCTAATAGTTATTTCAATATGTATAGTTTTATTTAATATTTTACGAGCTGATATGCAAGTTTGATGTTTGTATGTTTGCCTAATATTCAGTAACTTGGTATCTTTGTATATTTTATTTGTTGATCTTAAATAATCATAATTAAAAACTACTTAAATCAGTTTGTTTTGTGCAGTCTGAATAGAGTCAAGATTAGTTTTTGCTGCCGTGCCCCAAACCTCAATGAGGTAGTCTATGCGAGGTTTAACAAGGGAATTATATATTTTATATCTAATTTTGTGTGGAGACATTTGACGATACTTCGAAGTGTTCCCGTAAGAGATGTCAATTTAGATTTTATTTTATTAATATGTTGTTTAAATGTCATACAATTATCTAGTACCAGGCCAAGGTATTTTTCACTGTTATTTTTTGAGATTGATTGATTATTTATTTTTAGAGGATTATAGTTATCTTTTTATTTTTGGCTGTGAAAATCATGTAACTTGTTTTTGAAGTATTTATAGTCAATATATTGCTTTGGAACCAAGCATTCAATACCTTTAGATCATTTTGAGCATCATTTATTACATCATCAACTGGATGTCCGAAATAAAAAAGACTTGTATCGTCAGCAAACAGTATTATATCACCTTTTAACCCTATTTATTTGATGCTGTTTATGTAAACAAGGAATAGCAATGGTCCTACTATCGAACCTTGAGGCACGCCGAAGGTAATCCCTTGTGACTCGCTTTGCTCTGATCCAATTTTATCTACCTGATAACGGTTAGATAAATACGAATTAAAAATGTTTAGGGGCCAACATAACATTATTATTGTGTCGTAATAACCCGCACTCGAAGCGGGCAAAATTTTACCGCGATGGGCATCTGACGGCGCTGGTCGGACACTACCACCTCCTCGCCTCCTGCGCTTGGCCTGTACAGCAAGATGCTGCATAAAGGAGTGTCTGTGATCCCTTGATTAAAAAGGTGTTTGAAATCCTTTGGCGACGTACATCCATACTCAGCGTCAGCTAAATGGATAGATACAGAACATATATAAACCAGCGTTCACTAGGTTACTCCAAAAGGAACTTACTATATATATTCTATGCTCATAATCGTCTGGAATTATCTCCCGAATACTTTCTACGATACCTCCGAGTTGTAATGGCAAGCGACAACTCATGACTCGCTGTTTTGAGTCGTTCTGGATCGAAGGATTTTTTCTTTGTGTTCGATCTTTGTATTTAATAATTAGCTACAGTTAACCATCTACCAGCTACAGTTAACCAGCTACAGTCAACCAAATCAATAATAAGTTACGCAATTAAAAATCGCTCTTTTTGCCTGTAAAAAATGTAAATTTTTGGTTAATAAATGAAATTTATGTTTTTCTCCAGCTACTACCAACCAAAGTCCCAGAATCCTCGTCTTAAAGTAGGGGGTGGGCAATTAATTCAACACAGTACGCCTGTAGTGGAACTACGTGCGCCGTTTATACAAACTCACATGGGTCCTGCAAGATTGAGGGCTTTCCACCGTCCACCTTTGAGGAAGCTTTCATATGGACCATTGGCTGCGCCTGGGCCGCACCCAGTGCAGCCTTTGTTGAAGCATATTAGGAAAAAAGCTAAGGTAAGTTTAAAATAAATAAATACGTATGTTCTTCATGGTAGTTTTCTTTTTTTTTTGCTGAAGGTCGCGTCCCTAAAAGGTCTTCGAGACTTTATGGACAATTTTCTTCTACCTGCTACTCTCTTCGGCCTCTCTCAGGGCAGTTGTAATATGAAAGGCAGTGAGGGCGGTAATTTGGTTGGCTAGGTGATCGGCCATAGCGGATGCGCTTTCTCTCTACTTTACCCACCACAATCAGTTCGTCAAGGTTCTCTGGTTGTCGCCGGGTTAAATATATATATCATTCGCTTTTTACTTGTTTCTTCGTTATTGGTACTCGTAGTCATCATACGTGGGAAGAAAATTGAGTTGCTTTATTGATCATTCAAAAATTTATGAATAGCAGAGGTAACTCAGTGGAAGGAGAATACCTTGTGAAAGAATTCGTTCAGAGAAGTACTGCCACCTTACCAATTTCTGCCGCCAAGCAGTAATGTGAGCATTATTTAATTCCGGTTATGAAGGGTAAGGATGCTGGTGAAATTACTTGCCTGTATGCCATATGCCTATGGGACTTATCAAGTTATGTATCAGCGACGGGCGCAGTGGCAGTGCCCCTGAGATCTTTGCGATTTGAAACGTTGCTTGTCAATAGAGTGATTAATGGTTGAAATTGGCGTTTTAACTTTATATAATTTGCTAACGTATAAGACCTGTTATAGTCATAATGACACTGGTGTTCAACACACCATTCGTGTATGTGGATCCGTAAGATAAAGCAACACGTATTTCGAATTGACTTTGAAATGGACATATTTTAACAGCAACGTGAAGCAGAACGCCTAGCTTCTGGTGGTGGAGACGTATTCTTCATGCGCACTCCAGAAGACCTGAGCGGCAGAGATGGGGAACTAATCTTAGTGGAATTCTGTGAGGAACACCCGCCGCTTATCAGTCAAGTTGGCATGTGCACCAAGATCAAGAATTATTATAAAAGAACTGCAGCTAAGGTGAGTTCACGAGTTTATCATCCATTTGGAGACTAGTTTATCTAACGATTACGAAACCACAATATTTTTCGTTATCTCTTTTAATACATATTGATGATTGTTTACTGTAGTGATGATAAAAATCCCAATACATTAGGAAGATGGTTTTAATTAAACATTCACACGCAATATAGGCGCTTTGTCGTCGAGTTGCGGATACCAGCCCGTTGCACCAAGTACCAAGTACCAAGTAATTAAACATTCTAGGTATGAAAACCAGAACGTAACAGTATATCGGCCTAATATTGTCACGTTATTTTTATAACCAATAGAAAGCTCGATAATCCTTCACAGCCATATTACCTATATTTTGAATGCAGTAAGAGACAAATATAAAAAAAAATCGTATTCTAGAGTACATTAAAGTGTAATTTATTTTAAGATAATACTATTTTTTTAATTAAAAATACTGATAGACATAACATTAACAGTCGTCTTGACAAAATCATTAATGTGCGAAATTTAATTAGCAATTCACCATGAGATTTTTGGTGTAGAAAAACATCATGAGGAGACCTGCACATATCGGCAACGCAATTTAATGATGTATGTGAAGTTCTCAACCTGCATTCGACCTGCACGGGAACCAAAGCTCTCTTATTGTGAGAGGAGGCCTATGCCCGTGACTGTGCCCTGTGGGATTAACACCCGTATTTATGAACAAAACAAAAGGCGCACTTAAGATAATTCTTCACTAAGATCGACTTGAGTGAAAATTTTTCTTAAGTGCGACTTGGTGTTGTTTGGTATTTATGAAAATTTTTTCGCTCGCTCTTATTCAAGGTCAGTCTCAAGTTTTACTTTGATGCTGGTAGCCAATGACAGTACTTATTTCTTCAAAAATTAAAAGCGGGAATTTTTGGAAATTGTTTTGTAGCCTGCGGACTTTCTTTGTGGCAGTTAACAAACAATTATCTTTGCCTTTTCTTCAGTGGAAAGAATAAAAAATTCATTAAACTGTTTTGACCTTATTTGTTAGAAGTATTTGAGTTTCAAAACTTAATATTGATTTTTTTATTATAAATATTGATTTATTATTCGATTTTAAAATATATTAATTAATTAACATGCCTGAACTTGCCACGGGAAAATAGTGTTTGTTTATAACTATTTCTTTAATCTGGAACATTCAGATGAAAATCAGAAAAGCTTAGAGGTATCTCTCTCTTTTTGAAAATGAAAAAATTTGATATCTCTCTCTATGTGAAATGAGAAACCAAAACAAACAAACTAGAAGGTATGTAAATACGTAAAATAAAATAAAATGTCAGAGCAACTCAAGAGAAAACGCAAATAACACAGTGATAAAAATGTTAAAATATTTCCGAGTCCGACTTAAGACAGCTAAAGACTGGTTTTATACAAGTGCGACTTAACTCAATCCTGAGACTGAGCTAAGATTGAGCTGAGACATAAAAATCGTTCATAGATACCAATTATTGACTTGAGTCTTACTTGAGACTTTTTTAATGCTTATGTCGGACTTATCTTTATTCATAAATACGGGTGTAAGTCAAGTTTACAAGTTTTTTGGGCCACTATTCCAAGGACAATATTTTTATTCAAGACACGTTAATTTCAAACATGTTTTGTAACTAGTATATCTTTTATGTCAGGATGTTGGCCCGAAGCCTCTAAAATACGGCGAGATAGCCTACGCACACACATCGCCATTCTTAGGTATTTTGGCCCCAGGTGCGACGCAGCCCGTTGTCGAAAATAACATGTACCGTGCCCCGATATATGAGCACCTGATACCTCTAACTGACTTCCTTATTATTAGAACCAGGTAAGAGTGTATCATTATTTACGATAAAGAATTCTTCATATGTTACTATGCCTATCATTTCAACCGTTATTTATTACAAAGCGTATTTTCCCGTAGTCAGGTGCAAAAGATTATTGGTGCTGAATCACAGATTGTTATAGGAGGTGTGGCTATAGAAAGAGTTAGCTCAGCTAGAAATATTGGGTTACAAATAGATAGTGAGCTGCGCTTTGAAAATCATGTATTTGACGTCACACGCTCTTGTTTCTATCGCCTCAAAGTTCTGTACAATTTTAGATCTTATATCAGCCAGGCTCTGAGAGTTCTGCTTTGTGAGGCACTGGTATTGTCTAGGCTGAACCATTGCATCACGGTGTATAGTGGCTGTCTCAAAAAAAGCTCGAAAAAACTGATCCAGCGAGTGCAAAATTCTTGTGCTCGCTATTGTTTTCTAATTCCTCCTCGCACACATATCACGCCCTATTTAAACAAATTTGGCATTCTGAAAATGGAGGCCCGTCAGAAGCTATATTTGGCCTGCCTAATGTTTGATATGGTTAAAACCCGGAAATCTGATTGTCTATACCACAAGATTAATTGGTCACAACGTGTAAGGGGGATAAGTTCCGATTAGTTTCTAAAAATGTTATTAACATCCCAAAACACAGAACGACTGCTTTTCGCGGCGGTTTCAGGTATCGCGCCAGTAAGTGTTGGAATGATATTCCTCCTCCATTGCGTGACATCAATAATAAAAAACGATTTAAGCGTGAATACAAAAAAACATCTATTGTCAGAGCAGATGTGTCTCGCTACATAGATATTTCCCTAATCAATGCGTTTGATACCTGTAAACCTAGATTTCCGTACCTATACATACTCATATTTGGTGGCTATTGTTATAATTTAATATTATGTTTGTAAACTTACATTATTATTTATATTGCTTACCTTCATTACTTACACTATTTACATTGTTTGCTTTGCATCTTACACTTTTGCTTGCATATATTATATGTATAATATTTAGAGTTAGGCATATATATTTGCGTGTGATGCACTTTGGTGGCATGGCTTACTGGGCTGCGATCGCTCACCATATGGTACTGGCAGAAAACCAGCACTGTTTGACTTCTCTCGGTCTACAGTATTTATGCTGAGTCAGGGCCATTTCAGCACAAACTGTAGTCATAAGTACATTAAAATTTTATCAGTTGTTGTAGTATTTGTTTTTTTCACAATATGTGTTTTGTATAAATGTGTATAAAATTAATAATGAATGTTCTATGTGCTTGTTATATTCTGTGAAGTGATTGTAAATGTTTTGTTTCTGTTTGTATTTGTGCTGAATAAACGTGTTATCTATCTATCTATCTTTTTTCTGTGGGTTGGTGGGGTGCTTGTGCAACAAGCACATTAGATTGTCACAAAAAAATATACTGTAGTATTTATTATATTGAACATCATGATGTTTACGATATTACGTTACTCATATATTTCTTCTGAAAATACTTTAGTTATTGTTCTTGATACAAAGATCGAAGAACACAAGGAAGAATTCCTTTCATCTGATTGGAACCAGCGTCTGTTGCCATACCGGGGTCACTGCTCTTACCAACTGAGCTTCAGACTGTGTGCTTTTACCGTCTCTTTTCATAGCAATACTTGCCACACACAGGCCCTAATTCTTTTATTTAATTTTAGACAAGCCTACTATATTCGTGAAATTGACGCTTTGTTCGTGGCTGGTCAAGAATGTCCACTTTACGAAGTGCCTGGGCCGAATTCTAAGAGGGCTAATAATTTTGTTCGAGATTTCTTACAGGTAACGTTATTTTACAAGTATTATAGACGTAAAAGTAACTGCACTAACTCATTGGAAGAAACAATATTTTTATAATGCTTTATTTTTAAGGTTTTCATCTATAGATTGTTCTGGAAATCACGCGACAATCCGCGAAGAATCAAAATGGACGATATTAAAAGAGCGTTTCCTTCCCACTCTGAGAGTTCTATAAGAAAACGCTTGAAGTTGTGTGCCGATTTTAAGCGAACGGGTTTGGACTCTAATTGGTAAGTAACTTTAGAGACAACAAAGTTCACAAATGTAATAATATTTTTTGTCATTATAATTCGTAATCTTGTAGGAAATAATTCAAACTCGCAAATCAACACTGAATAATATAAAACGATTTGGCTGAATTCAGTACCTAAGAAATTATTATTATTTTTTATTTTTATTTATTTTTATTTTATTTATTAATGGTAAACTAGAAGTATATACATTTATATTTCTAAATTAAACAACGAAGTAGGCTTAATAAGTTTACAATTGTAGAAATAAAGTAACTTAAATAAGTAAGCACTCTAATAAAAAAATCAATAGAAATAGAATTTTACAATATAACTTTATAAAAAGACTATCCTAAGAAATAAAAAAGACTTTCCTAAGAAATAAAAAAGAAGTCGCTGAGTAATTTTCTCGCTGTGACAATTTTGGTATTGAAGATATCAATATCTATTTTATTAACTATGTTATTGATGTTGTTGCAAGCTCGCAGCAGAAACGAATTCTTTCTGTATTGGTTGAAGCTATAGGTATGTCAAATACTTTGTTAACCCTGAAATTACGTGTGAGAGTCAAAAAGTTGAGTTTGTATAGTAATTCGGGACAAACAATTATATTTTGAGAAATTTTTAGAATATATGCGCAATCGGCTATTTGACGACGCATGTAGAGGGGAAGAATGTGATAAATTTTACAAATGTGCAGGTAATCATTATTATGATATTGTCGCTTAGTTCGGAAACATAAAAAACGAATGAATTCTTTTTATCTTTTTTTTTATCACAGACATGATCAAAATTATCATATTTGACACTTGATGGTCAAACGTGTCAATATTTGCTCCAACTTTGCACGGGTTTGTTTTTTGGAACCTTCTTACTAGAACTTAGTCAATTACGCTGAATACGGGTTGAAGAGTTAGAGCCCGGCAGATTGCAGACTTTCTGTCGGCCGACAGTTCAGTCGTGTCCTTAATCAGTATGAAGCTCTGAATGGCACTGCAACTGTTATTTATGCGTGATATGTGACAGTTGTGTCGCTTACCCACAGGCCCACTTGTTCGTCCCGTCCCTTGGTATCATAAAAAAAAAGATTAATATGCAAGTGCGTATAATATAACGATTCGGTATCCGCCGATTGTTTAGTCTGTCGAAGCACACAATACTTCCGGTTTCTCTTCTTGATGCCTTTCCTCCATTATATAAAAGCAATAACATTTCATAATTTGAAGCATTTCTGGACAATTTAATTTTCATTATGCTATTCGAGAGCAATCGACCGTCTGTTCGCGTCCAACCAGTATGTTTGGTTTGGCCTCGTGTACGTGCTAGCAGCCCAACTCGACTGAACTATCGCCGGATAGAAAGTCTGTAGTTTGCGGAGGCCCTTAACGGAAGAGTTAGGTGTTCCTTTTCCAAAATGCAGGTTAATTCACGATACTTTGTTAGCTGACTTCAAAAAAAGTAGGAGGTTCGACTGTATTCAATTCGACTCATCAATCAATTCGATCAATTCGACTGTATTTTCTTGTTTTTGTAAGTTTCGCGATAACTCAACATTTGTGAACTGATTTTTTTATTGGAAAGAGGGTACCTCAATATTGCTCACGTTTAAATTTGAAGAAAATATTCTACCTCTAAGGGTGGCAAACCAGGGGATGTATCCGGTTTCGTGAATTTTCTGGTAACCGATTTCAGTAAACTTGGCAAATAGATGTAATTCCACGAACTTTTGAGATCGGTTTTTTAGTACTCTGTACTGAGATTATGCACTTTTACAGTAAATGACGAGATGATAAAATTCATGCTGTAACATATCAATCAATTACTTTAGGTGGGTAATAAAGCCCGACTTTCGGCTACCCTCTGAAGAAGAAATTCGCGCAATGGTATCCCCAGAGCAATGCTGTGCGTACTTTAGTATGGCGGCTGCGGAACAGCGGTTGAAAGACGCGGGTTATGGCGAAAAATTCATATTCACTCCGCAGGAAGATGACGATGAGGAGATGCAACTTAAAATGGATGATGAGGTTAGTTTTAAATATAATGTTCCAAAGAAATAAAAGAAAAAAAATTGTATTGTTTTCTTTATTACATTTTTTCACTGGCTTCGAGGTACACTAAAATAATACGAGATAATCTAAGGGTCGTATTCCAGAACTCAATGCTCAAGTCAGGACTTGAGCAGACTTGAGTATGATTTCAAGTACTGGAAATGGATTGCTCACTGCAATACTGAAGTTCTGACTTGAGTATTGAATAGAGTTCTGGAATACGACCCTAAGACTGTACAGTTTGGGAGATTGAACTAACAAGCGAATCGTATTACATTTTTTATAAATAAACATTAAAATTAGCCCATATAACATTGACCTACCAAGAAATGGACGTCAGGTTCGCGCTAAAAAGTGTCCGCACCTATAGGGCGTTAAAATCGCATACCGCATCAATCGTACAGCAGTCTTCGTTTGTTCGACTGACAGCGCGGTTGTCATTCATGCAGTACCATGTAATAATAATAACTTGTAAAAATTACTGCAGTAAAGTGTAAACGCAGGACTTTGTATCACATTTTCACTAAACAAATATATTGTGTTATCATAGTTCTCATTTAAAAGTGTTATTTTGTACATTTTTACAGTATTTAATTTATATGTTAATGAATCGTGAATATAAATTACAAAAGCACACAGAGTAATCGAATAGCTAACTGTCCTTTTTCTACACATTGCATGCGCAAAAGATGGAAAGAGACCCATTACGTCAATTTCAAGAAGCTTATATAAACTTCATGGTCATTTTCAATTGTTCGAAACATAAGCGATTGAAATATTTAGGACATAGAAACTATTGAGTCGCTTTGATTTTAATCTTATTTTTAAAATATTTTTTTTATTAAACGTTGGCAATAACTAACAAAACATTGGTTTGGGATTACCTATCAGAACTCAGAAAATACATTTGCCCGAAATACCGTTAGCTCGAATTTTCATAATGTCAAATGTATTTTTTAGGAAGATTACAAAACAAAAGCTAATTTTGCCTTTGTGAAAAGCATCAAAATTACCCGAAAGCGTAACGGTATTATTATGAATCAGTTTTCGGAATATCCGTATATTTGAATTTACGTTTAGTTGGAATATTGGTACATTTTTTATTATAGTACACGCTTATTTTAACGTTTGTATGTATGTATCTACCCAACTCTTTATTATTTCTTTAAGTGAATTTGTACAAAATTCGACATAATATGTATATATATAAAAATTTATTAATATTTACGATAAAGGCTACTCCATTACTCTTGTGTTCAAGTAATTTTCAATCGGAGTGCAGTACTGCAATGACGTTACCATTTAAATTAAATGTTTTAGTTTTTTATATTTCGTTACATGTCACTACGTTTGTATAGGTTAACTTCGAACATTTTTTTCGTGGCTTTTGTGCTAGACTCGACGACCATTTGTTGGTAGGTCAATGCCATATAACAATGAAGAAGTACATGTGAGTAAATGCATAATATACTAATATGTTTGTATGCTTAATGTATGGCTGGACACGGTGAAACTACTTATTTTGTACACGTCAACTTCTATACAACCAGTGTTTTCACAAATAAAGGAATTATGAAACAACTAATAATAATAATATAATAGTTTATTTATCTCCACACATTAATAAGCAAAAATAGAAATATAAAGCTCTACACAGTGTTTAGTAACAATAGTGGTGTGAGATAAAAAGGTCTGTAGCTCAGCACAATGGCCGAGTGATTCACAACGCCGCTGATATTCTGCTACAGCCTGCCATGTTTATAAAAAGAAGAAGAATTAACATACACTATCATTCAAGATCTAAGATTTCAAGCCGATCATTAGATATTTACCACACGCATGAGTCGTTAATATAGGTTAATTAATATTTCATTTGTGTGACTATTTTTTTTAGGTCAAAGTAGCACCATGGAACACCACACGCGCATACATACAAGCTATGCGAGGCAAGTGCCTTCTTCAGCTAACGGGGCCAGCTGACCCTACTGGTTGCGGAGAAGGTTTCTCCTACGTCCGCGTACCTAATAAACCAACTCAACAACCCAATGAAGAACAACAACCTAAGAGAACTGTCACGGGTACTGACGCTGATTTAAGAAGGCTGAGTTTGAATAACGCTAAAGCGTTGTTGAGGAAGTTTGGTGTGCCTGAAGAAGAGGTAAGTTGAAATGAAGACACTAGTACTATATTAACATATAGTATAACTATATGACACGCACACATTATAGATTGATTTAATTTCGGTGGTAGCCCACTTGCTCCATTCATATGCGGGCCGCAGTGGGAATGCTCGCTTCTAATTGGTTGATAATGGTTTGCGGAGTGAGAAAGGGGGATGCTTGTGACTGGTTACTCCTCGGTCCCCGGTCCCCTCGAATGCTATGGCGAGGTGACGATTGGTTAAAAGCATCGTTATTGTCTAGGAGAGCGGAAGAGCTTTGATTATCAATCACTAAAAACCTAACAAACGTAGCTTGATTGTCATTAGGAAAATAAGAGGGTTTTCCTATGTACTTTATTTCGATATTTTTATGAAGGTTGTCTTTCTTCTCTCGCATACAGATTAAAAAGTTATCTCGATGGGAAGTCATTGATGTTGTGCGAACTTTATCCACGGAAAAGGCAAAGGCTGGTGAAGAAGGCATGACAAAGTTCTCTAGAGGAAATAGATTTTCCATTGCTGAACACCAAGAAAGGTAATATCTCCCAAATTTTTAGTTTTTATATTTATATTTTTTGTACACTTGCACTAACAGACTTGTTAAGCTTATTACTATGTTTTATTATTTGTTTTTGTAATTGATTGGACTGATTGAGTATAGTGTGTAATATGTAGTAGTGTATATACAAATTATTGCACGAGTGCTGGAATTGCCCTTCTTAATGTTATTATACTGTGATGTGACATGATTCTTCAAGTCATTATAGTGATTTCAATTTCTCTTGCTTTCAAAATCATATTTCGGCTTTTTCAGATACAAAGAAGAATGTCAACGTATCTTCGAGCTACAAAACAGAGTACTACAAAGTACAGAAGTGCTAAGTACAGACGAAGCGGAAAGTTCAGCCAGCGAGGAATCCGACATCGAAGACATGGCTAAGAATATTGAAAACATGCTGGCTAATAAGAAAACTACTGAACAGGTATATTAAATTTGAATATGGAAACTTATTAATTTATTGTTTTTTTCACATGGATTGTACACGTTAATAAACTTAGGACTATACTAAGTACAAGTACATGTATTAGATACGTTTTAAACTGGAGCGTAATTAGATAACGTATACATTATAATATTATTTATACATTTATTATTATTATGCATAGTGTAATGTGTTATAGTAAACGTAAATTTATCTATTAGAACGTGTAAATAAAAGGGTTAAGTTAACAAGGGAGTTTAAAATTGTTTACGTATATGCACATGACGAACTCGATTTATTTCACTGGTAGACAAATTTCACATCAATCGTCATGTTTTTAATGTTGATATCGAATCAATACAATCAAAATTCTCTGGAAGAATTCGTACATTACATTTTAATATGATTAGTTGGTTTATAAGAACCACTTTCTTAGAAAGCTGTTAGATACTTATTGACTTCTTCTGAACAGTGTTCTGTAGATATTCATGTGTCGCGCTATGGAAGGAATTGGTTGAGAGACACAAACCTGTTTAATTCAAATGAGGAAATATAATTTAAAAAAATTCTTTTGTGTTTTAGTTGTCATTAGAAAGGGAAGAAGCTGAAAGGGCGGAATTAAGAAAGATGATTCTCGGACAATCGGAGAAGAAGCCACAGATCAATCAGACTGATCAGCAGATTTCTAATCTCGGTAAGCAATTTCCAATAGTTATTGTTCTTCATTAATAAATATAATGTACGCATAGCGTTGTCATTTGACAGTCGGCTCGGTCTCGCAAACTAAGAGAGGATGTATGGGCTAAAACGTATTCCTCCCGTTGCCCATAGACAAAGAAAAAGACAGAAAGAAACATTTCATTGGAGTCTGTGGAGTCCACAGTATGCAATCCACACACTTAGGCTAGAAAGGGTACAGAAACGTTTAGGAAATCTCTTTCGCGGCCGGTACACTCAAACGAATACGCACTTATAAAATGAGATTTAAAAAATTCTAAATGATCTCAGTCGAAAAGCGCAGAGGTCTATTGGACCTAGCCTTCCTTCACAATTTATTTACTCACAAGATTGATTGCCCACAACTGACATCAATGTTCACACTAAGCGGTGAATAAAAAAACAAAAGAAAAAATCTAATAAAATACAAAATACACAATAATAGCTGAAAAGGCTAGCTAGCTCAGCTGGAGATTGGTAATTGACACGTGATTTATATTATTAGTTTTATGATTACTAATAATCGACATAGACTTCACAACGGAATAGAACCCCTCTATAACACGCATTATATAATATTGCCTCCAGGTCGTGTGCTACGTATCCTTCGTACGTTCCGCAATGCATCCGGTCAGCGGTACACACGTGTAGAACTTGTACGCAAAGCGGCCGTCATCGAGGCGTATACTAAAATACGATCGACGAAAGACGACGCCTTTATACGACAATTCGCTACTATGGATGAGACACAAAAAGAGGAAATGAAGAGGGAAAAGAGAAGAATTCAGGTTTGTATCAATTTATCATAAGGCCGCGTACTTATGGCACAGGTGTACAATTTTCTCAACTAATTTCTTTTACAATACTATGTTATTCTTATTTTTATAAATAGTTACTAGTTCTAGTTAGTTATTCTTACTGGTTACTAGCTCAAAGTCATCACATTTTTCACTATAGACTTTAATATTGATTGTAATGAATATTATGTTTTACAATCATGATATTATTTTTTTTTGTGAAATTACTTCACTGCTTTGTTATAATTGTTAATATAAAATCGAACAAAATTCCTTCGGTCTAACAGGACTCTTGACTTGCGTCTGTGCCACTTAATAGGGCTTTCGCTCTATCAACTGTTATGGACAGGCGTGTAGTCATCGAGTATATAACCAGAAATAGAGACGAAATGTCATTTAATTTGTTTGAAAACTATTCTGCCAAATCATTACGTTGACAACTTCGCTCGGATTGACCAGCCCGAATCCGAAACAATTGATGGGTGTCGTCAATTGTTTCACTTCAAATTGAGCAGTTTAACTAGAGCTTTGCTATAATGGACAATAATTGAAAAATTACATACTTAATATTTAGTTACCGATGAAATGTGATCCCGTTTGTTTTGTAATTAGATTTATTGCTGTTTTTCCTACACCACAGTATGGAACAGACTCCAATTGTTAGAGATTATCTTTATTACAATAAATACAGAACGGTTTTGGAATATATGGAGACGTACACAGGTCAGTTGTTGGCGCTGTACTATTTCAGCTTTCTAATTTGTGATTTCCGCGCAAACGAGAGTTGATATTTAAAAGTGACATAAGGTCCATTTGCCTGGTGAGTTGCTAGGGATGGATGGCCCTTACTTCGTCTTTCTTTCTGGTTATTTACTCGATGCATGTACCATCAGGCGCACGACTTGTTCGTCCCGTCACTTAATATTATAAAAAAAAAATCTGAGCTACAGACTGCGTTTGTTATAGATCTTGTTTTTGGTTTTAACGGATTTTTTGCCGTAGCGCGTATCGTCTCAGTTAGTCGTGACCATGGGATCTGTAAAGGCTCCGAAACGTCGGTTTGTTTGCAAAAAACAAATAAACGCGATTTGGATTCGAAACTAGTTTCATTTCAAATGTATAACAAACGTGAAAACCTAAGAACTCGATAAGATATTCTAATTAATTTTTTTTATTGAACAAAGTTGTTATTTTTAATAACAGGAACAACTGAGACGTATAAAACGAAACCAGGAGAGGGAAAGGCTGGCTGGAAATGTTACTGTTCCTGCTCCATTCCCAGAATGTAAGTTTCATATAATCTAATATCTAATTATCTGACTAACAACCATGAAATAACATGAATTTATTGCTAAATAATGTATTGAACTGTGTTGTATAGAGGCGTATATTAAATCCAACGCGGAGTGAGACGAGGGATTCAACAGAACGCCTGAGTGAAAAACTACTTTTCTTTTTCCATATGAGTGAAATAAATATAAGACGTTTTGAAACTCAGCTTCCTTCATACTAGACGGCCAAATTATGTTTTCAGATTGTTTTGGATTGTTTGGTCGCGTTATACTAACATATAGGGCCGTATTTCAAAACTCTACTCAATGCTCAGGTCAGGACTTGAGTATGATTTCAAACACTGGAAATACGACTTGAGCATTGAGTAGAGTTCTGGAATACGACTCTATGTCCTAAACGAAAGGTGGACATTAAAATTTCGTTGTTGCCTAGAGAATATAATAACGATTTTTAAATAGGTGAAATGAACTCTTTGCGTTCGTAATATTGCATCCGTCTCGAATGTTTATTAATGTCTGTGTATTTTTATCACTTTTGTGCTTGCCTAATCCGCATTCAGCTTGTAATGAGGGAGTTACAATAAAGCGCAGTAAGTGTCATAAGTTTCATTTCGAAATTAAGTCGACAACCAACGTGTTATCACGCCATCTCATGTGGTCTCAGACGAAGATACCGCATCTACACTGTATTCACATCAGTCCGTTCGGACACGCTCATTTTCCAGTCTATTTTTTACCGGTCGTTTTTAAGGTTTATCTTTATCTGCAAGTGTACGCTTTCTACTTCGACTTCTTTACACACCAATTACTTGGTTTTAAACTACACACATCAAAAGTGTCTAGGGATCAAGTGAATATTTTTGAAATAAAAATTATTTAAACAATATTTACCAAATCCAGTCTTCCCGGACGACTTCTTACTTTAATGCTTATGTTTTATTTAACCGCTTACCCCTATATTTAATTAAAATAAACTAAAATTGATGTTTTTGCAAATTGTGGGAAAAAAGTCAAATTAACGGCGTCAATTAAATGACAAAAAAATGGCGAAAATGATGATTTTGCTCATTTTTATTGTAAAGATAAGAAAATTAATAATCTGTATTTCCACCATTAACACGAATCACACAATTACAGCGATTTGGCATGCTTAAGATGAGTTCATCAAAATCACTTTGAGGAATGGCCGCCCATGTGTTTTGTAACAAGTCAAAATATTGTTGTAGAGTATGTACGGTATGCATACTCGGCACAGCTCTTCTTTGAAGCATATCCCATGCGTGCTCAATTGGATTGAGGTCTGGCGATTGAGCAGGCCACGGCAGAACGTTGATACGAGCTTCGGCAAGAATGCGTGTTACGACTCTAGCCGTGTGTGGACGTGCGTTGTCATGCATTAGTTGAAATGAATCACCCAACTGGCCTCGCAAAGGGATGATAACATCTGAAACAATCCTCTCTGCGTAAACTTGAGCATTGAGGTTACCCCTGATCCAAATGAGATCGGTTCTTCCGCCGATCCAAATACCGGCCCATATCATTATTGTTCCCCCACCATATGGATGAACTTCCTGACAATATCTCAAACGTTCATGACGTCCAGATGTTCTCCAAACTCGAGTACGTCTTGTATCCGGTCTCATACCGAAGCGGGATTCATCCGAAAAGCACACATAGCGTCAGTCTTCTTCCTCCCAGTTTCTGTGTTCGCGAGCCCATCGTAAACGGGTCCTGCGATTGCAGGGTGCAATAGGTGGAACTCTGAGCGGCCTTCGGGATCGCAGACCCACTTCACGTAAACGATTTCGGATTGTTTGATCGCTTATTAGCAAGTCTGAGGAGCTGTGGAGCCTCGTAACCAACATCATGGCGGTCATGGTACGATTGCGTCGAGCAGTATTTTGGATATACCGGTCCTGTCTGCGAGTCGTGATGCGAGATCGTCCTCCATGTCGCTCGGCCACGCTGCCCGTCATGCGATAGCGCGTCCAGAGGCGACTTATGACGCTCTGTATGACGCTCTTAACAAAGAGTGAAAGCCACAGCACGTTGCCTGGAACCAGCTTCCAACATCCCGACGGCTCGCATCATCACTTCTCGGGTTAAATGATGTCGTCTCTCCATAATAATGTAAATTGTTTCGGTTCCGATGCAGATATTGTAATGATTTTGTCAAAACGCTATAACTCATTTTTATACAAAACCACATTGACAATCGATTTTCTTCTTATTATCGAATTTTAAACAATATTCCTTATCTAAATGTTAAAACTCACTAAAAAGTATCAATAGCGATACAAAAAAGTTAATATAATTAACCCTAATTGCAGCAATACTCTTAAACGTACTTGATCCCTAGACACTTTTGATGTGTGTATTACCAAAGTAATACATTTAACATCGGCGACACACTACACAGAACACGGATATAAACCATTTAATGCAATGTAAATTAATGTACTTTAAAAATTTTCAGCATTAAATGTAACATCAGACGTAAGCTTACCCTCACCAGGATTAATTCCACTTGGACAAATCAAACAAGAGCCTGGAGAACCGACTCCCTCTCGCCGCCGCGCTAAACTGAAGCCAGACTTGAAACTCAAGGTATATATACAACATTTCTATTGCATGTATGTCAATGCTATGCCCATATACAGAAATAATTTGTTTCATAAGCACGGCGTTCATAGTTTTGCATATTATTAGCCGTTGGAAAGAGAAATATAGGTTATAGTAAGGAAACATGATATATGTGCTGTGGTATTTGAATAGATGCGATTCTGCATTTAATTTTATTATTCAAAACAAAGTTATTAAATTGTACTTCACAAAACATGCAGGAAAGATGTATTTTGGTCTCTTTCTTCTGGCTAGTATAACATCTAATAAATACCCCGCTATAGATAGTCTCATTTAATAAACAAATTAGTTCTAGGACGCAGCTCCGCTGAAGCCCACAACGTAGGTCTAACAAATGTAGGAAATAACACCGCCTTTTGCTGATTTAACATTATTTCTTTTAACAGTATGGACAGTACAGAAATGTCGGCCAAAACTCTAATTTAATACAGGGCATCAAAGTGACACGATCATATGCCGTATGTATTGAATTGTGTATAATTTGAGTTCGATAATTGTATCGTCTTGTTTGTCACTTGAAAATACTTAGTCACGACTACTGACAGGTTCTTAAAGCACCAGGCCCGAGGTGGTGGTCTATACTTAACATAATATCTTATAATATTAATAAATGTATCTGTTATTGTTAATAAGTACTTCATTGTGCTATAGGGGCGTGTATTGTTCTGCTAATAATATCGAAATTAATATTATTCATTTCGATATTCGAGTGACGGTTGAGTCGAGTCGAGCCTTACAAAGCGTGAACTTCGAGCAGAACAACTAACAATGTCCATTCTGTTTTCGAAAATAAATCATTTTCGAATGTTCTCGCAAACAAAATGCTCATTACCGAGTAAACAAATATCGAACGTCTTTGTAATTATAGCAATCATAATAGACACTTGTAAACTATTATGTTTCGAGGGGTCCGTGGCATAACCCAATAATATATTTTCATGCATTTTTCGATTGTGTAATATACCGGGTTTGTAATTAAATATTTTCTTTGTTACATTCATAGATCTCCATTCCACCACATAATAGATTAACATAAATTAACATTCGCACGAAGCGTTACGCTTCCACATTTACAAGGTAAAAGGCTATAGGTTGATATTCCCTGCCTGCAGACTTATTCCCTGAACGCTATTAACTTGGGCCTTTTCGAGGCGACAGTGATTTAGGTTTGCATGCTTCATCGTCAACCTCATTACTTTCCATTAGTACTGGAAGTCAAATACACACTTATATTTAATAATGAAACAGAAAAGAGCATGAAAAGTACCATATAATGAGAGAGATAACTTATTTTATTAAAATGAATGAAATCACTCATTGGGTTTGTCCTCGGACCCCTCTATTTGAGCGTCATTATTGTCGACGATAGTAAATCTAAAGCTCCTTTTCAAACGTACCATGTTTTGCTCGTAAACAAATGCTTTGGTCATCAACATTTGTTGCTGGAAGCTAGTGAAAGATTGCTCCCTGTGTGCATGTTCCTTACGGGTTCACACCGATCACGTGTCACCTCTGTTTTTATTTTGCAACGTGATTTCGATGGTTTCAAGCATTGATTACCGTTAATTCACTTTAATTCAATTTTAATTTAATTTTATATAAATTACACGACTCCAAGGTGAGTAAGCTGGATTGAGGTTGCAAGTGTTTCTTTTGCGGAACATTGTTATATTTATTTCGAGGCTCTAAATATAATTATTTTGCTTCTCAGAATTGTTAATTCTGCATTAAGCCTCTGAAACGATAGGGTCGAATTTTACTCTGCAAATAATTTTAGAGAAAAATTAGTATCGGATACGCGTTGTCCTTTATCTAAAGTCGAAAAGTTTCGTCATCGTGAATAACACAGGTTACTTGGAACACATCAATATAAATTAGTTGCCACAATCGGCACGAGCTAATAACACAAATCAGCTAAACAGTTAATACAATTTTTGATAGATAACGGTGTGGATTGGCGCAATCGCAAACTAAACTAAACATAAAAGACAACGAGATAGTTCCTTATATATTTATTTTTAATGAAAATGCATAGAGTGGTTTACGGACGTCCACTCATTTGACAGTTCAGAACTAATAGTTAAATCTCCTAGCCTTTTCTTGATAATGAAAGAAGAGAGACGTTCTTAACCTTAAGTGTAATATGTGCTGGCGCAAATCGACGCTATGGACAATATATTGGACCACACTGTGTGGAATCGCCCCTATAGTACAATGACGATTGGAGTAAATTAACACTGGGATATAACATGGGTTGCCTTTACTTCTTTATGAGCCACCGTGCTATTATATCTTGATATTTTTCAAAATTATATCGAAATGAACGTGAGTTTTGGCATTAAAGTTAGGAGTGAAAATTTAAATTTATAAATTTAGTGTTCTTGGAGAATCACATGCGTTTCTGTCGAAAGTTTAAAGCAGTTTATTTGTAGGTTTTTGTATAGACAATGGCGAATTAATTGCCGATGTAAAGAAGGGTATGTAAATTAGAGTACTTGGTACTTGGTGTAACGGGCTGGTGTCCGCAACTCGACGTCAAGGCGCCTATTTTGCGTAATTAGAGTATATATGTATCATATTGATTAAAGTAGTCACGTATATTTTAATTAGTTTATTATTGAAAACTTATGCATATGTATGTGTAATTTTAGTAGTTTAGTACTCGTAACAATTTATAGTTAGTAAATGTAACACAGTACAACTATTTTCTTAATTACGTCGCGACAATCTTCACGTTTTAGCTGTCGTTGGATTTTTATCACTTTGCCCTTTGCACTTGGTGCAGACCTGCCGCACTCAATCGACTTGGAAGTAGATAGAGTAGCTACTACTCTTACTTACTTACTTAAGTAATAAGTAACTCGCACTCTGATTGAATAGAAAAGATTAATAATCGGAAAACGACTTCAAGATTAATTTTAGTTCAAGTAAAAGAAGAACATTTCATATATAAATTGTAAACAATATACCAAATGTTGTTAAAAACAAAATGTTACTATAAAAAGGGCACTAGTTTTACAGCACTATAGAGGGTTATTTGTAAGTCTAACAATCTCGCATACTATATTACTAACATCATAAACAACAACTCTCGTTCAATTACTTTTTACAAGGCAATGAATTTAATTAGAATAAACCTTTAAGTTTGTTATTCTGACACTTTTTAGATGTGTATTTGGTAGTAGTAGTAAGGTAGTAAGTTGAAACGTCCTAGCAGAAAGTCCTTTCCAACTCCGTTCCTGCGTTTTCAATCGAACTGATATTTACGCCTGCCATTTCTTTTGTTACCGCACGGAGTTATCACTGTTTAGAGCGATGTATTTAAATATTGTAGTTTTTGCACGAAAGTAAAATCTAATGAATTATTAAAAGTCATGTAACAAAAGTTGTTGTTTATGATGTAAGTAATAGTGGTAGTAATATAATCCTCCGAGGTAGCATTTTACAAATAAGTACAGTTCCCATGGAAATTAAAACCAAACTAACAATGAAGTACGTAGTTCTGAATTAAAATTATCATAATGACTAAACATGGAATTTTGTGTTCGGGTGCGTTCAAAATTACGAAAATTGCCGATAGATATTAATAAAATTGTTGTACTGTAAGTATTTACTGTCCTTCGTGAGAATGGCTGTATTTAAGAAGAATAGCATTTTTTTTTGCAGAATTGGTTCCCAGCTATTGTTTTCCTTATTGGGCATACTTTTGAGTCTAACAATTTCAGTGTCATATCGATTGTAGCTTTTATTTCTGCCTGTGCTTTCAACATTGTATGTAGCTAAGGGTTTTTGCACTATAGCAATTATCTTATATCACTAATTGAATTGTACACGACGACAAGGTTTGGTAATTTTTTTCTGCTTTATATTGGTTGGCAATAAAGATAACATATTTTACATCTTTAAAAATTAACTGCTTTATGAACAGATCAACGTGCCGTTTACGCACTGATCTACTGTCAAGAAGACAATGTTAAAATTTATTTTAACAGCAATATTTATTAGCGTTATTTGAATGTTATATGTATACCTCTCGTTGGGCTATCATAAATATTATATCTGTTCATGCAGTGCAATTTTTATTTTAGCCATACGGTATGGAAAAAACACCGTTTTTTTAAATTAATCACATGATATAGGCCAACCTAAGCGATTAATAAAGTATTACCAAACCTGCACCTTAAAAAAGCCTCGCTTGCTTATCTACATCTATGTGTGCGTCTTTCTTATACGTGGCAACATCGCTATTCAAATTGTACAAAGTCATATTTTTTAGTGCGGAGCGTGTGGTCAAGTGGGACATATGAGGACGAACAAATCATGTCCCTTGTACACTGGGTCGATGGCTGGAGGACCTTCCTCGCCACCTGAGACTGATGTCGAGCCACCTCCTGAACCAGCTGACGAAGACGACTTGGGTTACGTTGATGGTACTAAGCTTACCTTGCCATCGAAACTTATCAAGGTAAGAAATTCATTGAATTATATATTATTTTAAATTATATATGTAAAATAAGCGACAACGCTTTTGTCTGGCTACTGCCTATTTACTCTATAGTCTGTGTTATCTGAAGTAACCTTACGAGATGGAAAAAATAAAGGAAAGGAGCTGTCTATGGAGTAAACGTACCTACTTAAACCAAAAATGTCCACCACAAATGGCGGATTTAGTTTTGTACCATAATCATAGATAAGTCAATATCGACATGCAAATGTATGGCTTGAATGTTGAAACTGTTTTTTATGTTTGCAAATTTGTATACTGTTATCAAATAGTTTACTGTAATCAAAGTATGATTAATACAAGGTATTATTACTAGGCAAGTAATGAGCCATTTTAATCAAAATTAAATATAAAGTTATTTACCAATAAATGTAACGATGGAATTACATTATCTTATAATCTAGTTACATTCAAAGTTCAATTAAAATTTGACTTCAAAATAGAGCGAACAAACGAAGGTGGTATTTGATCCAATGTTTATGTTCGGCAGTTCTATAATTTCCAACCATTCTTTCTTTCTTTTTTCATTTGTAGATAAACTTTAAAAATAATAATCTAAAAAAAAAAATAATAATAAAAATAATAAGGCAATCTAAAGTAACCAAAACAAAATTCGGCAAGACTTATGAATAAACTACTTAAATGAGTCTAACTGCATGAGATATTTGGGCTATTGTATAATGAGAAAAATAACACATGCCGGTGTAATGTAACATTCCGTTGATTTCCGATTTTCTACTGCCGCATCCCTTAATTCTGCAGCGACGCATTTTTATCAATACATAATTGTTCTCACTGTCAATATTTTTGTCCATATCATTACAATTTTCTATGTAATTATCTATGTTGAGTTAAAATGAAAAAAAAAAACCTTTAAAATATGTCTCCTCATTGTATTTTTAATAGACATATGTAGTTTATGAATCTAAATGCAGATTTTGAATTTACAAAAATTGACAATTAAATGATATTCAATTATGTTATATACGGTAGTAAAGTATCGTGACATTCAATAAACTAAAAATTGACAATTCAAATTAGCCTGTGCCCAGTAGTTTGACGAATAATAGTCCGATGACGATTCAAATGAAACCAGTTCGGCTATTTATTTATTATATTTTGTTGCAATCAGAGATGGGCAGTGGGTTAAAACCCAATGGTCCCGTTCGGGTTTTAACCTAGTTTTTACCCAAAGCTCCTAAGGATGATGCATTACGATTCCATTTTTACGAAAATCGATTCAAGTGCAAACGATGTAACGATTTTGTTGTCGATTAATTTCGACGCGTTTTTCAAGCGAACCGATTCAATAGAAAGACAAATAGAAAGCAATAACCCGCTTTACAACTAATATTTAGTTGTAAATAGTTTATGTCCTGGATTTCGGGCATTTTTACTCGATTTAAACCCGAGATTAACCAAAGCGCCGCGTTAACATCCGGGCGTTTGTCCACCTCTGGTTGTAATTCACAAATTGAAGAAATAATTGACAGTAAATAAACACTTCGTGACCTTCTCCTTTGCCTTCCCTTGATTTATTTTTACTTTGCAGCAGTCAGCTGAAGAATTAAAACGTCGCGGCAGCAGTGGTAGACGCGGCGAATATCGCGCCGCCGGTCGTAACAAACGTAGAGGCACAGCCAGTGAGTCGTGTGACTACTTAGTGAAGAGACCCGCGGAACGACGACGAACGGACCCTCTAGTAACTTTGTCATCTCTATTGGAAGATGTGCTTAACCATATAAGGCACTTGCCGGATGTGCAGCCGTTCCTGTTTCCAGTTAATACAAAGGTACGTCTATAACTTCTGACTTATTCAAAATAAGTAAGTGATAATCATAATCATAGTTTGGTTACAGCAACCGTAGTATAATAAGACAAGCAGTGTAATTCCCGCCAATTCGTCGCCTTACGGACTACAAGTCACACAGGTTGCAAAACATAATTTAAAAAAGTATTCACAAAAGATCCAGGTCAACCAACCAGGTGGTCCACGGGCAAGAAGCGAATAAATAGATAACTCCTCGAAATATAACACCCTAGAAACTGGTAAAACTGACAAAAAAGTTCCCGTTATCAGGGACAGATAAAACTCACAAAAAATAATTTGTGTCCGAGTTACCAGTATGTATTAACTCAGTTTTCTTTTGTTACGGCTTAACTTCATGCTTTTTGACCATCGTTATATAATATAATTTCCTCTGAATTTTCGTCGTGTCACAAACCCACGGCACCATTCAGCTTCTATTAACTCTGTTTAAGGGTTCTGTAGTTTATTTTGATATAATAATACACCGAATATATTTTATTTAATTATGAAAAACACAACTTTCAAAACTTCAAATTGGAAGGTCTTTAATTCCAGACTTCTCAAAATAATGAACCCATAATCAAATTTAGGAATTTAAACTCTATATATTCACATATTTTTCATAAACAGACGCATACAAATTATGTCAACAAAAATTTATATGGGAGTTCGCCATTATTCTTTCACTCAGGAAAATATTTTAAATTATGAATACCGAGCGAACGCTCTGTTAAGTTTGTTAGCAGTTTAAATTATCGATATTTGTTTGACATTACTGTTTTGTTTCCAGTTAGTGCCAGATTACTACCGTGTAGTGACTCGCCCGATGGATCTGCAGACCATTCGCGACAATCTCCGCCAAAAGCGCTACCAGAGTCGAGAAGATTTCCTGGCAGATGTCAACCAGATTGTAGAAAACTCTACCACTTATAATGGTAAGTCGCACACTTGGTGTAATAAGGCAACATCTGCAAAAACTTACAAATTTTCAGAAGAGTGGTTC